GTGGGAGGCCGGCTAGCGTCCTCCTTTTGCCCCGTGTGAAAACGTCCATACTAGTGATGCATTGTTCAAGTTAACTTTCAAATAAACTTCTAACATTGTTTGAATAAAGGCTTGCTTAGAATTCTAATAAAGAAAGACTACCAACATTTAAAAAGATAGTTTGGGGTTAAGTCCTTTGAGAAGGTTGGAGTGGTGAATCCATTCCACCCATAGGTGCCACTGAGTGGAAATAAGTAAAGTGAATGAGGCTGTCACCATTACAGATTGATGACAGAGGTGGGATTGTAAGCCCCATGTTGCTGCCATCCAGGAAAAATTATGGTGAGAAGATTAAGTGGTTGTGACATATTCCTGATATATTCACTCATCTCCTGTTGTCATTCCCATCTTCTTTTTTCTTCCTCACTCTTCCCTGACCTTCTTTCCTCCTCCTCCATCATCATGTCCCTCTGTCATCCATTTTCATTGCTATTTGCTTTCCCTACAGGCCCCCCTTCCCCACCCCGCTCCCTATTTCTTCTTATCACCTCCTCTTCTGAAATTTCTTCAGAAAAGGCTCTCTAATACACTGTGGCACTTTTTTATACACTGGTATGTAGGGGAAAGATGCAATTTTGCAAAAGGAGAAAAGAGGAGGAGATGGAGGAGTAGGCCATTTAGATAAGGAGAAAGACTTGGGGAAGACTTTCTATTTTCCCCTTCCTTGTATTTGCCTTCTAACTGCCCATGAGGTCATCACGTTTTTCACTCCTTTTTTCTTCTTCATTAACTGATTAACTTCTCCTTGCCTTGTCTTTCATTCTGTTTCCCTCTATAGTTGAAGAGGATGAAGGACAGCTGATGGTGAGGTAATCATCCCAGTGGTGGGATAGTCCTTGATGGACAATGTGTGAGGAAGTTTCAAATTAGAGTGGCCTTGACAAGTCTGTTTGTAGAGCTCTAGAGGTAGAAGATTCAGGCTGAGGCAGAACATTGGCATATGGAATATCCAAAACTTGGAAATGTTTCTTTATGGGTTTTGTTTGCTTGCTTTGCTTTTTTAATTAAAATACCAGAATCCCCAGCACATCCTAGCAAAGGGGTTGGGGCAGATGTAGACTGTAAAACAGAGAAGTTTTTCGTAACTATGGAAATAATGATCAGATGTGCATTCAGGAGGGATCAACCCTATACTGTACTGCTGTTCATCATGAATTTTGACTGACCCTTATACTATTTTGAAAGCCTAAAAAGCCAGGATCTATGTCTGACTGCATATCTAACATGGTCCACTATTATCAGGTCTTGTTCTGAAACTGATCTACTGTCTGATGTTGTTTATTTCAGTAACATTTTAATCTGGTTTCATACCAGTAAAATTTGAGAGCTAGCTTTCTGTCTAATAATAAAATGCTTCGTATAACTGTCACAATACTTAATCAGTTTTCTATATAATCAAATACTATGCAGAATAATAAACAACACAAGTAAATATAAATGTATATGTACCTGTAATATTAAATTGTGAGACTGTAAATTGTGATACTGTAAAATGATCATTATAATTGTTGTACACTTATTTTGTGTTTACTGGCTCTGTGGGGAAATATGAAAGACAGCACTTAATCTTTCAAGCAGTAAACAAATTGACAAGGAAGAAGCAGAATAGCAACCAGTTCCATACCCATTGTTTTTGTATTGGGGGTTGGGGGGTTGGGAAGGGACTAATTTTGAATTTTATTGTATTTCATGAACTTTTATTGTTGTAGCCCGCTTGGATTCCTTGTGATTGGGCTATAAATTATTTATTTATTTATTTACTATTACACAGGGTTTAACAGAGGAGGAAGGAATAAGCTTAGTTTTATTTGTAAAAAAATATAAGTAGCTTTGTTTACAATGCTTGTGCATAGTCAAAGAAAAGGTCTTATGAAGAAGGGGGAAAGCAAATGTGTGAAATTTAGAGGGATGCAAGCAGAGAGTATAGATGTAATGAAAACAATCTGGCAAGAGATTTTCAAGCATGTGGAATAGCAATCAGTGAATATAGGCATTCAAACATTAACTCTAACAGGATCCAGAACACTAATGAATATTACAGATAAAAAAGGAAACCATAATCAATAAAGTCTAAGAAATCTTGATCTTTTTACTAAACTTTAGTGACAGTCAGTGTCAAAACTTGACATTTGAGATGATGAAATAATCTTAACAAGCATTATCCTGGATAAGATAATGCCAGCAGAAGCCACAGTAGACTTATTATATCATCATTGGAACATTTGATAGAATGGGCTGAAAATAAATGTTCATGTACCATATGTAAGAGAGCCAGTGTGTCACAGTGGTTTGATTGTTGGACTATGACTCTGGAGATCAGGGTTTGATTCCCAGCTTGGTCAGGAAACCCACTGAGTGGCTTTGGGTAAGTCACATGTTCTTAATATTAGAGGAATACAATGACAAACCTCCTTTGAACAAATCCTGCCAAGATAATCTATGATAGCTTTGCCTTAGGTTCACCATTAACTGGAAATGACTTGAACAACAACAATGTCATACGTAGAGGTAGATAGCTGTGGGAAGAGAGGAAGGCTGAGTACAAGATGGCTACACACAATAAAGGAGGGCATAGTATGAGTCCTCATCATCACCTGAACAGAGCTGGTGGAGACAGGGAGTCTTGGAGGTGTTTAATTGATAGGGTTGCCATGAGTTGGAGCTGACTTGAGAGCAGTTAACAACAATCATATGTCAAAATAACCTATGCAGAAAAATAAACATGGTTTTAAATATGTTTTCTCTGCTGCAATACACTTTCCCTAAATACCATGAAGATGGCTCCTCCCAAGCAGTGGGACTCCATTCCAAGGGAGGCTGACACCATCTGTTGTCATTCATCCAGCAGACAAATCTAAAATTACCAGAAAACTTATGATATGGGCTAAAGGAAGTTATAAGAGGGGCAAGCAGGCTGGGCTTCCTAATTAAACTGCTTTAATTGGTTGTGAATAAAATTTAAGTAATATTTTTATGTCATTTTCAGCCATTTATGTTATTTTGCTAATGACATTCCTATGGCATATTATCACCATTTAAAATATTTTTGAAATGTTAATGTTACAGTGTGTATCCTAATATGATTTGTATATGATGAACTTATTTTCAGACACTGCTTACAGAAACTATTTTTTCACCTATTTAAAATCTTGAGTGTATGATCTTTAATGTCACATGCAGAGGTCTGAAAAGTGCAATTTCAAACTCTGTTTAGGTCAACAAATGAACAACTGTAAACAAGGGGCATTTTCTAAATGAGAAGATATCATACATTTACCTTTGTCATGCATCACTGTGATGGAGAAAGGGAAAATATCATTTGAATTATCAAAGTCCAATATTATTAAACCCATATAGAATCTTGAAGTCATAGATCTGGAAAAGGCTACAAGAGCCATCCAGTCCAACCTCATGCCATGCAGGAAAACACAGTCAAAACATTCCTGACAGATGGCCATCTAGCCTCTGCTTAAAATCCCCTAAAGAAGGAGACTCCACCACTCCCTGAGGCAGTGTGTTACACTGTCAAACAGTCCTTACCACCAAGAAGTTCTCCCTAATGTTTAAGTAGAATCTCTTTTCCTGTAGCTTGAATCCACTGCTCTGATTCCTAATCTCTGAAGCAGTATTAAACAAACTTGTTCCCTTCCCTTCACACATAATTCAGTTTAAAGCCCTCCTGATCAGATCTTTCAAACTCTTAGCAAAATTGTTCCTGCCCATCCCTTGTCAAAAGTATATAATTGTTTGCATCTTTGTTTTGATTCTGGGAACTTAACATTTTGGATATACTGTCTATCATTGTGTTGATTACTCCCAATTGTTTTGAATCATTTGTTGAATGGTAATGTTTAAATGACTCAAGGCCTTTACAGACTGCCAGAAATAATGCAGCTTGAGGCCACTTTAACTGTCCTGGCTCAGTGCTAGGGAATCATGGGAACATTGAGCCTTCTCTGTCAGAGAGCTCTGGTGCCACAATAAACTACAGTTCCCATGATTCCTTAGCACTTAGTTCTTAAAAATGCTTAAGACTGTAATCTGACGGATCTTATCTGGCAGGCCATTTCATAGTCTGGGAGCAGTTACAGAAAAGGCCCTCTCAGAGGTTGCAGACAGCCTAGTTCTCATTGGCTGTAGCAAATTCCTCCCAGAGGACTGGAGTGTGTGAGGAGGATTGTATGGGAGTAGGTGGTCCCAAAGATAGATTGGACCCAATCCATTTAGGGCTTTAAAGGTCATAATCAACACCTTATACTGGGCCCAG